TGACCGAGCCTTCGCCTCGGCAACAGACGAAGCTGACTAGGACGAGCAGAACATGGATGAAGCCTCGGAGGAAGCCGGACCTCTTCCTTACTGCTCCGTCGACGTACCGATGGACGACGAAAATCCTCGCGAAAGCGTCAACGCCGAAGTATATTACCACTTCCCCGACAACGGTTACGTTACACCTGCAAGAGTCAATACCAACGAAGCAGAATGCATAGGACCCAATTTCATACCTGACCCAGAAGCAGGAGATGAAGCAGCTTATCCTGATGACACAACACTTCCCCGCTACACACAGAGCGGACTCCAGATACTCGGCCTCGTCACCGCGGTCCACGGCATGGCGATTCCTAAGGAGCTTGCCACAGTTCAGCAGGCTCTGGGGGGGAGCATAGGGAAAAATGGTGTGAAGCCATGGACAGGGAGTTGAAGGCGCTAGAAGAGCGCAACACCTGGAAAGTAGTTCCCATCGGCGTGGCACGAAACAAGACAACCCTTACTGGAAAATGGGTCTTCCGTGTAAAGACAAAGGCAGACGGCACCATCGACAAATTTAAGGCACGCTGGGTCGTACGTGGCTTCGACCAAGAGCACGGACGCGACTTCACCGAAACATTCGCTCCGGTCAGCCGACATACCTCACTGCGAATTCTCCTCGCAATAGCCGCTATGAAGAAGAAGAAGTTGCGGCAAATCGACGTCGCCAATGCATTTCTCTACGCACCTGTTGACGCCGAAATCTTCGTCGAATTACCACACGGCTCCAACGGAGAGCCCAACCAAGTCTGTCAGCTGCTGAAGTCCTTGTACGGTATCAAACAGGCTCCGAGACTATGGCAATAGTACCTACACGCTAGACTCATCCGCATCGGATTCCGTCAGCTACCGCACGACCAGGGCATATACCGACTCACAAAGGGCACCGACTACATCCTACTGATCATCTATGTAGATGATCTACTCTACATTGGTTCGACCAACGATGTTACTAGTAGCATGATCTTACTCTCACGATATCATCGACCGTCACGCAATACCTCGGCCTCAACATTCAGGAAGAAGAAAGCGCAATCTACCTCAGCGCTGCGAAGTACGCCGACACCATCGCCAAACGCTTCGGACTCACCCCAATCGCCATCTCAACGCCATGCCTACTTGGCCTCACTTGCTCACTTCTTGACCTTACTTGTACTATGATCTATCTATACCTGCACTTGCTTGTTTACCTTTATATATGATCTTGCATGTGAAGTGGCCTTGTGGCCTTGAACTTGTGCTCGGAATGTGTGGTGACATTGGGATCCACCCTGAGCTTGCTTTGCTTTGCTTGACTGGTCTTGTGACCCCTTGTTCTCCCCCACTTTGCCTATGGGGGTGTGTCAAACTTATATGCTATAGTCTGTGTAGGTTGTAGTGGGGTAGACAATATGGGGTACAACACTTTTAGGTTATCCTACTTGTACCCACCTGTTTCCTAGTGAATTCATTCCTCATTTCTTCACAGAACAAACATGAACGAAACATAAACGAACATGAACGCACATGAACGAACATGAAGATACATGAACGCTCACGAAGCTTGCACGACCAGCACGCGAACATTCATGATCACGCGAAGGCTCACGAAAACACATGAACACTCGGAACTCCACGCACATTCATGGCGCAACATGAACAACACGAAATTCATACGAACAATCTTGAAAACACATGAATGCAACCTCACACTAAAATGCATATAACTTATGAACCGCTAAGGCGATTCATGAACCGTAAACGCCAAAATGAAAATCACACAATTGCGCATTCCACACCACACAAAATACCTCAAAACAAATACCTTCAAATTTCACATTGCTCAACGAATAGGCGATAGGTTGACGTGCAAAATACGTTTTGCACCCAACATGGAGGCCAAATGGCCTCCAACCTGTCAGACTTTATATTAATTATATTTGTAACTGCCTGTAGCTGTAGTTAGTGTAGTTATTGCAAACTTTGTTAGGTGGTGCACCCTTTTGTTTCCTATACTATATGTTCCTTGAACCTATAGTGAAACCCACTTTTCATCTTTCCAACTTCCTCGATCCCCTCACCCTTGGGCCCAACTCACTCGATACCTAAGTTGGGCCTAGGCTCCTAAGCCTAGGCCCTTACATTCTAGTTTCTTTAACATGGTTATCAGAGCAGTTTTGTCCTGGCCTGTGGGCCCGCCCAATGCTTCCGCTGCTGGATTTCTGGTCACGCGCCTCCGGCGCGTGACGTTTTTTCTTTTCTACCCGTCGCGGACCCGCCTTTGGCGCCTGCGACGGCGCCCTTAGCCGTCGCGGACCCGCCTCTGGCGCCTGCGACGGCGCTCTTAGCCGTCGCGGACCCGCCTCTGGCGCCTGCGACGGCGCTCTTAGCCGTCGCGGACCCGCCTTTGGCGCCCGTGGTGGTGCTCCAAACCGTCGCGGACCCGCCTTTGGCGCCTGCGGCGGTGCACTAAGCCGTCGCGGACCCGCCTTAGGCGCCTGCGGCGGTGCATTGAGCTGTCGCGGTCTCGCCTCTGGCACGCGACAGTGCCCTGCTCGTCGTGCGCCCCGAGGCACACGACGGTGCACTTACCTTCAACTTACCCGTCGTGCGCCCCGTGGCAAGCGACGGGCCTTTCCGCACCTGCTCAAACTACAGCCGCCCCTTACCTCCCTGCCTCGACACATGGTAGCCGCTCTGCGGCTTTCTACCCGCCCACCCCCTCCTCCTTTGTTTCCCTGCAGCCGTGGGGGGGAGGGTATGGGGGTGGCGGGTGTTGGAGCTTTGGGACGTTTCCTTCCCTTCCCCTCCTCCTCCTTTTGTTCCCACTGCTGCAGCTGCCGCTGGGGGGGAGGGTGTGAGGGTGTGGGGGAGAAGGGGGATTGGCACCGGGGTGGCGGGTGTGAGGCAATCAGCAGCCGTCCCTCCGCCTCTCCTCTCTCCCCCCCTTCTCTGCTGCTCCTGCAGCAGTGTGGGGGAGGGGAGGGAGGAGGGTGAGGTGATGGAGGGGGTGACCAGTTAGTGTCTGCCCGCCTGCAGTATTTGCTGTTGCTTGGTTTATATCTTGCTTGTGTTGCTTGTGTACCCCTGCAAGTTGTGTTCTGCACAAACTTCTGCTGCAGGCAGTTATGGGGGAGTGTCAGACTTTATATTAATTATATTTGTAACTGCCTGTAGCTGTAGTTAGTGTAGTTATTGCAAACTTTGTTAGGTGGTGCACCCTTTTGTTTCCTATACTATATGTTCCTTGAACCTATAGTGAAACCCACTTTTCATCTTTGCAACTTCCTCGATCCCCTCACCCTTGGGCCCAACTCAATCGATACCTAAGTTGGACCTAGGCTCCTAAGCCTAGGCCCTTACATTCTAGTTTCTTTAACACAACCCTCGTTATATACTCGGGAACAAGCATTCGTAGTTTCCTTGCTTCACTACAGTCAGCTGCGCTTTCACAATCTTTATTTTTAGAAAGTGATTCACACTTTCAAAAAATATCATATTGAGAAAGCTTGCTTTCTGGTTATTGCAAGGGAGCGTGCTTCATTTTAATTGGGTCTTCTGAGACATGTGCGTGCGTTGGCAGAGTGTGGATCGTGGAGCTGGTTGATGGCGACGTCCAGTGACATCAATTGTTGCTGCCGGTCGTTGCGTTCTATGTCGACGTGGTTATGCAAGTCGCTCCCTCCTTGTGCTGGTCATTTGTTGGTGGAGTGGGTAGCCATGGTTTAGAATGATTGTTGTGCTGACATTCGCGGTGGAGAAGATGGTTGTCAGAACATTATAGCTTACTTATTTGTGTAGGCTATAGTGGGGTATCCCATAGGGGGTAGAACCCAATTAGGGTTTCATATTTGTACTCACTTCATTCATAGTTCATTCATTCTCGTTCAGTTTTTCACATGGTATAGAGCAGGTTCCCCTGTGGGAACTGTGCCTAGGGCCCACCACTCGAAATCTTTTTTTTTTCCTGCCCGAAGCGCACTCATCCCGAGTCGCGCCTCGGGCCACTCCTTCCTCGAGCCGCCCTAGCGGCCGGCCTTACCCTCGCGGCCCCGCCACCCAGTGAACGCGGCCCCGCCGCCTCTTCTCTCGCGGCCCCGCCGCCCAAGCGCTCGCGGCCCCCGCCGTTCCTGATCTCGCGGCCCCGCCGCCCGAGCGCTCCCGGCCCCGCCGCCCCTGATACGCGGCCCCGCCGCCCGAGCACTCGCGGCCCCCGCCGTCCCTGATCTCGAGGCCCCGCCGCCCCAACGCTCCTGCCCCCACCGCCCCTGATACGCGGCCCCGCCACCCCAGCGCCCGCGGCCCCGCCGTCCCTGATCTCACGGCCCCGCCGCCCCAGCGCTCTCGGCCCCGCCGCCCCTGTTACGCGGCCCCGCCGCCCCAGCGCTCCTGGCCCCGCCGCCCCTGATACGCGGCCCCGCCGCCCCAGCGCCCGCGGCCCCGCCGTCCCTGATCTCACGGCCCCGTCGCCCCAGCGCTCACGGCCCCGCCGCCCCTGATCTCGCGGCCCCGCCGCCCCAGCGCTCCCGGCCCCGCCGCCCCTGTTACGCGGCCCCGCCGCCCCTGGTCTCGCAGCCCCGCCGCCCCAGCACTAACGGCCCCGCCGCCCCTTGCTCTCGCGCCGCCCGACTGCAGCAGCCGAGCCGCCCGGAGCAGCCGTGCCGCCCAGGAGCCGCCGAGCCACCCAGCAGCAGCCGAGCCGCCCAGCAGCAGCCGAGCCGCCCGGAGCCGCCGAGCCGCCCAGCAGCAGCCGCGCCGCCCGGAGCCGCTGAGCCGCCCAGCAGCCGCCGAGCCGCCCAGCAGCAGCCGAGCCGCCCAACAGCAGCCGAGCCGCCCGGGAGCCGAGCCGCCCAGCAGCCTAGCGGCCGTTTCGCCAGGCGACCTTCCTCCCGAGCCGCCCGACCTGCCCTGCCCGGTGAGCACTGCACTGCTGTCACTGCGTACCCTTCCCCTACTGCTTGCACTGCTCCACTGTCGTCGTCATGGCTACACCCAGTGTCCTCGCTTTTGACGCTGAGGGTCGAGCCATTGACTTTGAGGTCTCGCTCGACGACCTGCAGCTGTTTTTACAGTGCGACAGGGCCGACGGTCTCTCTCTCTTTGACCTCACCTCTGGCGCCGTCCCTGCCCCTGCTGCTGATGCTGACGCCACTGTTCGCTCTCAGTGGGCCACGCGCGATGCTGCTGCACGTCTTGCTGTGCGTCGCCACCTGCCTACCGCTGAGCGCGCGCACTTTAGCCAGTACAAGAGTGCTCAGACCTTGTACGACGCTGTAGTTGCGCGCTACTCCTCCCCTGCCACTGCTGCACTGAGCCGCCTCATGCTCCCCTTCCTCTTCCCTAACCTTGCCGCCTTTCCCACTGTCGCTGATCTCATCACGCACCTCCTCACTAGTGACACTCGCTACCGCGCTGCGCTTCCTACTGACTTCTGCGCCAAGAACCCCCCCCCCCATGTACATCACTCTCTACTTCTTAGTCACTCGCCTCCCTGACTACCTTCGTGTAGTCCGGGACCACTTCCTCGCGGTCTGTCCCACCACCCTCACGGTCGACAGCCTCGAGAAAGCTCTCCTTGCAGCAGAGAAGAGCATAGTTGCTATAGGAGCCTCTCGAGGTGACCCCCGCGCCCCCATCTTTGAGGGGTGTTCTCCTTCCCCTCTCCTGCCCTCTGTCGCCTCTGCCGCTGTGGCCGACCTCGTTGGTCTTGAGTCGGTCGGTGCGGCGTCTGCCCCTAGCGGAAGACGCCGCTCTGGCAAGGGCAAGGGGGGCAAGGGAGCGGGTGGGGCCAGTGGGGGCGGTGGCGGTGGAGGTGGAGGCGGCGGAGGGAGTGGGGGTGGCAGTGGAGGTGGTAGCGGGGGTGGGGGTGCTAGTGGCAGCAGTGGAGGCGGGAGTGGCGGCGGCGGTGGCGGTGGTAACGGAGGTGGCGGAGGTGGCGGCGGTGGAGGTGGAGGCGGGGGCGGTGGAGGCGGAGGCGGGGGTGGCGGAGGTGGAGGTGGTCGGAGTGGAGCTTCGCAGCGGAGCGGCACTGGTGGCGGTCAGCGCCAGCAGCAGCAGCAGCAGCAGCAACAGCGTTCTCGCGACGTCCCCACCCCTCAGCAGCTCCGTGAGTGGTACACGCAGCGTCAGCGCGGTGGGGGTTTTGGTCCCTGCACCTACGTTCTCCGCACTGGCGACCGCACTAGAGAGCAGTGTGGGGGTGCCCACTCCGCCCAGCGCTGCTTTGGCCGCCTGACGGACGCTTGGCGTCAGCAGTTCCCGGAGGCCGCGGAGATCCCCCGCTGGGGAGAGCTGTCTAGGGCTGGTGTAGCTATCTTTGATCTTGATTTTGATGCTATCCTTGCTGCCATGTATGCTGTGACCATTAGTGAGGAGGGTGACTGTTACCGGTGTTTCCCGCCCGACCCGGGCATTGGTATTGCTGCTCCAGGTGCCGGTGAGGCTTCTGCTCTAGGTGCCAGTGCGTCTGTGCTCTCAGGTGCTCGTGAGACTGCTCTCTCAGGTACTAGTGCGTCTGCGCTCTCAGGTACTGCGTCGGCTTCGGCCTCCTACACCTTTACTCTTGACTCTGGAGCGTCTCGCTCTTTCTTTCGGGACCGCACCACACTTACGCCGCTTAGTCGGCCGGTTGCGGTTTCCCTGGCTGACCCCTCTGGGGGTCCTGTCCTGGCTCGCTTCTCCACGGTACTCCCGTGTCCGGCGGCTCCCTCTGGCACCCTGTTTGGTCTCTACCTCCCCTCTTTCTCTACGAACTTGGTGAGTGGTGCTGACCTACAGGATGTGGGGGTCCACCAGTTCACCCCTGCTAGTCAGCGACTGACGCACTGCACAGAGGCTAGCACGGGTCGTCACCTGGCTACGTTTACACGTCAGCCAGGGTCGAGCCTGTACACACTGACCACTACTTCTCCTCCAGGTGCTGAGTCTGGTAGAGTCCCTTCGTCTGGTCAGGTGTTTGCTGCAGCGTCCAGGTCTGGTCCTGAGTCTGCCCCCTGTTCGTGTCGCCGTCTGTCTCACGAGACCCTCCTCTGGCACCACCGTCTTGGCCACCCCTCTCTGCTTCGGCTCAGAGGCATGGCCTCCCGTCTTCTTGTGTCTGGTCTCCCCCGGTCTCTACCTCCCCTTCCTCAGGGCCCTGGCCCTGCCTGTGTCCCCTGTGTCGAGGGGCGCCAGCGTGCTGCCCCTCACTCCTCCCAGTTTCCTCCGACAGAGGCTCCGTTGCAGACGCTTCACATGGACGTGTGGGGCCCTGCCCGCGTCCATGGACTCGGTCACGAGCGCTACTTCCTGCTGGTGGTTGACGACTACTCACGTTACATCACAGTCTTCCCCTTGCGCAGCAAGGGTGATGTCACTGAGGTGCTGATCGACTGGATCCGCGCAGCTTGTCTCCAGCTCAGGTAGAGCTTTGGCTCGGACTTTCCTGTGTTGCGTCTGCACTCTGACCGAGGCGGAGAGTTTTCCTCTGGCCTTCTGCGTGCCTACTGTCGTGCGCGAGGCATCCGCCAGACCTTCACGCTTCCGGACTCCCCGCAGCAAATTGGATTGCAGAGCGCCGCATTGGAATGGTCATGGACGTCGCTCGTACGTCCATGATGCATGCGGCTGCCCCCCATTTTCTGTGGCCGTTTGCGGTCAGATACGCAGCGCATCAGATCAACCTCCACCCCAGGGTCTCCAGGCCGGAGACCTCCCCAGCGCTGCTGTGGACGGGGAAGGTTGGCGATGCGTCGGCGTTCCGGGTCTGGGGATCTCGGGCGTTTGTCTGTGACTTGTCTGCGGACAAGCTGTCCCCTCGCGCTGCTCCCTGCGTCTTCCTGGGGTTCCCCCCCGACGCCCCTGGGTGGCAGTTCTACCACCCCACCTCTCGACGTATTCTGTCCTCCCAGGACGTCACGTTCGACGAGTCGGTACCCTACTACCGCCTCTTCCCCTACCGCACTCCGTCCCTCCCCCCGCCTCCGCTCTTCTTGGTACCAGGTCCCCCCCCGGTAGACCCCCTCCCCCCTCAGGGTCGTGCCCCTTCAGGTGTGTCCCAGTTAGACGCGGTCGAGCCTGTCGAGGTCACTGGTGACTCTAGTGCTGCTGCGGGAGCTGAGCCTGGGGGTGCATAGACTGGAGGTGCTACGCCTGCGGGTGCTGAGCCTGGGGGTGCGGAGTCTGGAGGTGCTGAGCCTGGGGGTGCTGAGCCTGGGGGTGCTGGGCCTGGGGGTGCTGAGCCTGGAGGTGCTGAGCCTGGGGGTGCTGTGCCTGGGGGTACTGAGCCTGGGGGTGCTGAGCCTGGGGGTACTGAGCCTGGGGGTGCTGAGCCTGGGGGTGCTGAGACTGGGGGTGCTCCGCCTGGAGGTGCTTCGTCTCGCCGAGAGCCACTCTCCCCTCAAGAGCTTCGTGAGTGGTTTGCCAGGCGCTGGAGGCGTGCTGCTGGTGCTGGAGGTTCTTCGGCTGCAGAGGGTACTGCTGCCGAGGGTCCCGGCGGTGCTCGTACTGTGGGTGCTGGAGCTGCTAGGTCTGAGGATTCTCCTGGAGCTGGTGCTGCTGAGGGTGTTGACGCTGAGATTGCCGCTGGAGGTCCGACCGGTGGTGCTCCTGGTGGTGCTGCTGGAGGTTCTGGAGCTACTGGAGGTGCTGCTGGAGCGGGTACTCCTGCTGGGGGTACTGGTGCTGTCCCTGCTGTTTCTGGCGTCGCCGCGCGGCCCCGGCCGTACTTCGTTCCGCTCCTGCAGCAGGTTCTTGGTCTTACACCTTCTCCTGGTCCTCCTCCTCCTCCCTTAGAGGGTCCACAGCCTGTCTCGTCACAGTCACAGCTACAGCCTGCCTCACCTTTGCCTGCTCCTTCTCCCTACGCTGGTCCGACTGGAGGTCTTGCTGAGCGTCGTGAGCCTGCGTCTCGTCCCGCGTCGCCTGTTCGTACTGCGCGCACTAGTGGTCGTGGTTCGCGTCAGCGTCCTCCTCCTGTCCCTGGCACGCATCGGATGTCTCTGCGTCCGTCTACTGCTCCTCTGCGTGCCCCTTTGCCTTCTCCTCCTGCTTCCTCTTTTCCTGCTTTTGCTGACCCGGAGTCGGACTCTCTTCGTGCTGCCAGTCCTAGTGTCATGCGTCTTCTTGCTACTGCTGTCACTGACCCTTCTTTCGAGTCTTCTGCTGCGTCTGCCCTTGTCACTGAGCTCGTCGACTTTGCTGCGCGCTGTCATCTAGACTACGCTGCTAGTCTTGTCGCTGAGTCTAAGTCTGCCTGTCCTCCGTCCGTCGGGGGTGAGTGTGCCCTTGGCACGGACGTCCTTGAGGACAGGCAGGAGGAGTTCCAGTGTCTGGCCGCCGCTTCACCTCATCTCGCGTCTGTACTGCTAGCCCCTGAGGGAGACCCGGATGCACTAGACATCCCGACTCCGCGCTCTTACGCGGAGGCGATAGAGGGTCCCTACTCCTCTCAGTGGCAGGCAGCTATGGATGCAGAGATGGCTTCCTGGAAGTCCACTGGCACCTACGTCGACGCTGTTCCCCCTCTTGGGGCGAACATCATCAGTGGCATGTGGATTTTCAGGGTGAAGCGGCCGCCGGGTTCTCCGCCTGTCTTCAAGGCACGTTACGTGGCTCGTGGCTTCAGTCAGCGGCAGGGGGTTGACTACTTTCAGACCTTCTCCCCCACCCCGAAGATGACCACTCTTCGGGTACTACTGCACGTTGCTTCTCACCGTGACTACGAGCTGCACTCTCTCGACTTCAGCACAGCTTTCTTGCAGGGCAGCCTGCACGAGGAGATCTGGCTGCGTCGCCCACCTGGCTTCACTGGGTCTTTCCCTCCTGGTACCCAGTGGAGTCTCCGGCGTCCAGTCTACGGTCTCCGCCAGGCGCCACGTGAGTGGCACGACACACTGAGGACTACGCTGGCGGCACTTGGGTTTGCTCCTTCTACTGCCGACCCGTCGCTGTTTCTGCGCACCGACACCTCTCTGCCGCCGTTCTACATCCTCGTGTACGTCGACGACTTGGTCTTTGCCACAGCTGACACTGCTGGACTCGCCTACGTGAAGTCCGAGCTGCAGAAGAGACACACGTGCACTGACCTGGGTGAACTGCGCAGCTACCTTGGCTTGCAGATCACCCGAGACAGAGCACGCCGCACCATTACCCTGACTCAGTCACACATGGTGCAGCAGGTCCTTCAGCGCTTCGGCTTCACGTACTCCTCGCCTCAGGCCACTCCTCTGCCTACTCGCCACTCGCTCTCAGCTCTGCCTTCGGATGAGTCCGTAGAGTCGAGTGGCCCGTATGCAGAGCTTGTTGGCTGCCTCATGTACCTGATGACCTGCACACGACCTGACCTTGCATACCCTCTCAGCATTCTCGCACGCTATGTTGCTCCTGGGAGACACCGACCAGAGCACATGGCTGCAACGAAGAGGGTGTTGCGCTTCTTGTGCAGTACGTCAGGCATGGGGCTAGTGCTTGGAGGGCAGAGTCCAGTGGTCCTCACTGGGCACGCGGACGCTTCTTGGGCTGACGACCAGGCTACGCAGCGGTCGTCACAGGGTTACACCTTCGGCCTTGGTTCCGGCTCTGTCTCGTGGCGGGCTTCTCGCTCGTCTTCTGTTCTCGGCTCCAGTTGTGAGGCTGAGATCTACGCCGGGGCTATGGCTGCTCAGGAGCTTCGCTGGCTCACCTACCTGCTGACCGACCTTGGAGAGCCGCCTCGTTCTCCTCCAGTCCTGTACGTAGACAACAAGGCCATGCTGGCCTTGTGTCGAGAGCAGCGACTGGAGCACAGGACAAAGCACATTGCTCTCCGCTACTTTCTTGCTCGTGAGCTGCAGCAGCGTGGACGGTTGCGACTTGCGTACGTGGCCTCTGAGGCCAACACTGCTGATGTCTTCACCAAGGCACTTGCGCCTTGTGATCATCAGCGTTGCTGCACGCAGCTGGGTCTTGTGCCTGTCTTGCCTCACTTGCTCACTTCTTGACCTTGCTTGTACCTTGACCTATATATACTCTTGCTCTTGCTTGCTTGCCTCTTGTATATCTCTATATATGATCTTGCATGCGAACTGGCCTTGTGACCCTTGACCTTGCGCTCGGAATGTGTGGTGACTTTGTGATCCACCCTGAGCTTTGCTTTGCTTTGCTTGACTGGTCTTGTGACCCCTTGTTCTCCCCCACTTTGCCTATGGGGGTGTGTCAGAACATTATAGCTTACTTATTTGTGTAGGCTATAGTGGGGTATCCCATAGGGAGTACAACCCAATTAGGGTTTCATATTTGTACTCACTTCATTCATAGTTCATTCATTCTCGTTCAGTTTTTCACAATGGTTGTTGAAGACGGCCCATGTGTCAGAGATGAGGCTCCGAGTGTTGCGCAGCGACTGATGTATCGATGTTGATCTTGTTTGGTAAATGGTGGTGTGTAGGGTTTTGGACTAGTGACGTGTAAGCAAGAATGGATGCTTGAATTTGTAAACTGGAGATGACGGACCAAACATGGAGGAAAGAATATCATTTGGTTACGTTAGAAGTTGATGCTTTGATGGTGGGTCTGTCAGACAAGGTTAATGTGTGGCCTTTCAGCGCAGGGTACGAAAAAAATAATTTGGGAAACTAAGGTGCCCAGAATGAGGTGTAGTCGCAGGGTAGCGGCAGATATTGAAATATGATGCCTAGAGGAGCGGAACGGTATGCGTCATCCATAAGGATGTGGGTTCGTAAGAATAATGTTGTATAACAAGACCAGGGTTAACAAGCCATGCGTTACCAACCCATCGGTTGCTTGTCTCTCGGCCCATTTTGTTGCTTGTCTCTTGGCCCATCGGGTGCGTGGTGCTCATCTCTTGGCCCATCGGTTAATTCTCTTGAGGCCCATCGGTTGCTCATCCTGTGGCCCATCAGGTGCTCGTCTCATGACCCATCAGTTGCTCGTCTCATGGTCCATCGGCTGCTTGTCCAGTAACCCATCAATTGCTCATCTCTTGGCCCATCGGTTGCTCGTCTAATGGCCCATCAGTTGCTCGTCTCGTGGATGATCGGTTGCTCATCTCGTGGCCCATCACTTGCCTGTCCATTAGCCCATCAAATGCTCCTCTCTTGGCCCATCGGTTGCTCGTCTCGTGGCTCATTGGTTGCTCGTCTCACAGCCCGTCGGTTGCTCGTCTCATGGCTCGTTGGTTGCTCGTCTTGTGGCCCGTTGGTTGCTCGTCTCGTGGCCCGTCGGCTGCTCGTCTCGTGACCGTTGGTTGATCGTCTCATGGACCGTCGTTGCTCACAGGCCCTCATATTCGTTTGAGGGTACATTGAGGCCTCAGGGCAGTTTGGTAGGAAGTCGAATTTTTGTCCTGATTTGTCAGGGTTGGACTGGGAGAGGTTTGTTGAATCGTCATTACGGAATTTGACGGTAGCCTGGCAGATTAGTGCTACATTACATATATCCAACAGCATCTTGCAAACTTGGCCATGCTTTTCCTGCGTGTTAAGTCAGCGGCACACTCATATTGGTAGTTATTACAGCAATGATGCGTTTCCAGGTTGGGCGCGGTCTGGTTTTGCGCGAGCCATGCCACAAAATTCAGGGCGACAATCGCGGAGCGTAACATACGTTGTACCAGGTCGATGGTTGGGATGCACTAGGCCCCGTTGTACGCAGTACTCGCTTCCGAACTAGTCCCGACACTATCCTGACTCATCAGGGCCGGGCCTAAAGCGTTATACTGAATTCTTAGTATGCAAGATGACCACCACACTGAATCTACATCATCCTTTTTTCATTTTTTTTTTCAAGAGAAGCCCACAACACCTATCCTGAATCCAGGAAATTCGGGATATATTATCATGATAACCTAGGGCCTGGTTGCTCGTTTCGTGGCCCGTCGGTTGCTTCTTTCATGGCCCGCCGGTTGCTCGTCTCTCGGCCCATCGATTGCTCGCCTCTATCTTGGACCGTAGTGTACTAGTGAATAATGGCTGCAAGACGCTCTCTCCTCCCTCATTGTGCAGTGTAGAAGAGTGAGAAGGTAGGATCCAATATATGTCCTTACTACAGCTGCACTCCACCAACCTTACCAAAGTCAGTCGAATGATTGTTTGTGGCTCCAACATCCGTTTACAAGACCATAATTGCTTGTGGTATTTTTTTTTCTATATCATATCGTACACATAATAGCCAATGATACTACATATCCATATAGATAATGATAAGGATTTTCCCCATCTTAACAAGTCCGCAGATCCCCCCTCCCTAAGAAGGTCGCCCTCTGGCCAGCATACTTCCCCCTCTGGCGTACCTCTCCTTACCCCTCTGAAAGTGGTTTTGGCATCGAAGCTCGCGTAACTAGGTCCCCTTTCCCCCATGGGGGCGGTTCTCAGGCCAACTTGGGGACCCTCGGTCCCCTTCCCCCCCTGGGGGCGGCTCTCAGGCCAACTTGGGGACCCTCGGTCCCCTTCCCCCCCTGGGGGCGGCTCTCAGGCCAACTTGGGGACCCTCTGTCCCCTTTCCCCCCCTGGGGGCGGCTCTCTGGCCAACTTGGGGACCCTCGGTCCTCTTCCCCCCCTGGAGGCGGCTCTCAGGCCAACTTGGGGACCCTCGGTCCCCTTCCCCCCCTAGGGGCGGCTCTCGGTCCCCTCGTTTCGATGTGCGTGCAGTTGATCCCGTTGTCGTTGCAATTGTTCCGCATGGCTAGTAGAGTCCGACTTCAATTAACGACTTTCCATCTTGCGCCCGTTTTTCTGCCACCAAGAGAATCGAGAGAGTATCGAGATTGATAGGCAATGAGAGACAAAATCAGAAATGGAAAGAAGAAAAAGAAAATGAAAAGAGCTTGCAACAATTTATATGCAGCTAAATAAATGGTGAGGTGACATGGGGTGCTGCATTGGCGATCGTTGATGGTTGACGCCCAGTCAAACGCCTTAGGCACGGCAGCAGTAGTTTCTTGACTACCGCGTCGCTGGCCATTTCGTCCGTGGCGATTTCGCCACGGACACGTGCCACTGGCGCCAGTGGCGATTTCGCCACATCTGCGCGCCAGTGGCGCAAGTGGCGATTTCGCCACACGCGTGTCAGATTTATATGACATAGCTACTGTAGGCTATAGTGGGGTAGCACATATGGGGTACAGCTTTCTAGGGTTTGTACTTGTACCCAACTTTCCCTTAGTCATTTCATTCTCGTTCTAAGTTTCTCATGGTATCGAGCAGGTTCCCTCGTGGGAACTGTGCCTAGGGCCCACCACATCGAAATGTTTTTTTTTCCTGCCCGCAGCGCGCTCCCCAAGTCGCGCTCCTCTCTCTACCTTCGTCGAGCCGCCCTAGCGGCCCTCCTTGCAGCCTTGCCGCCCTCACTTGCGGCCCCGCCGCCTTCAGTTGCGGCCCCGCCCCCTCTCTTGCGGCCCGTCGCTGCCCTCGGTTGCGGCCCCGTCGCCGCCCTCGGTTGCGGCCCCGTCGCCGCCCTCGGTTGCGGCCCCGTCGCCGCCCTCACCTGCGGCCCGTCGCCGTTCTCCCTTGCGGCCCTGCCACCCTCTGTTGCGGCCCCGCCGCCCTCACCTACGGCTCCGTTGCAGCCCTCAGCTGCGGCCCCGTCGCCGCCCTCACCTGCGGCCCGTCGCCGCCCTCACCTGCGGCCCCGAAGCCGCCCTAACCTGCGGCCCCGACGCCGCCCTCAGCTGCGGCCTCGTCGCCGCCCTCACCTGCGGCCCGTCGCTGCCCTCACCTGCGGCCCCGACACCGCCCTTAGCTGCGGCCCTGTCGCCGCCCTCACCTGCGGCCCCACCGCCCTCAGTTGCGGCCCCGCCGCCCTCACCTGCGACCCCGCCGCCTTCGGTTGCGGCCCGTCCCCGCCCTCACATGCGGCCCGCCGCCCTCACTTGCGGCCCCGCCGCCCTCAGTTGCGGCCTCGCCGCCTTCAACTACTGCAGCGCCGCCCGCCGCCCGAGCCGCCCGAGCCGCCCGCCGCCCGAGCCGCTCGAGCCGCCTCACCCAGCCGAGCCGCGGCCCTGCAGCACCACAACCGAGCCGCCCAGCAGCAGAGCAGCCGAGCCGCCGAGCCGCCAGGTCGCCCTGCCGCCGAGCCGCCCAGCCGCCGTGCAGCCGAGCCGCCCAGGAGTCGAGCCGCCGTACCGCCCAGCCGCTCTTCTGCCGAGCCGCCCGTGCAGCACTGTCCGGTGAGCACAGCACCTCTGTCACTGCACTGCCCTTTCCCTACTACTTGCACTGCTGGTCTACTGTTGTCATGGCTACCCCTAGTGTCCTCGCTTTTGACGCTGAGGGTCGAGCCATTGACTTTGAGGTCTGGGTCGACGACCTCCAGCTGTTCTTACAGTGCGATAGGGCAGACGGTCTCTCTCTCTTTGACCTCACCTCTGGCGCCTCTCCTGCCCCTGCTGCTGATGCTGACGCCACTGTTCGCTCTCAGTGGGCCACGCGCGATGCTGCTGCACGTCTTGCTGTGCGTCGCCACCTACCTACCACTGAGCGCGCGCACTTTAGCCAGAACAAGAGTGCTCAGACCTTGTACGACGCTGTAGTTGCGCGCTACTCCTCCCCTGCCACTGCTGCACTGAGCCGTCTGATGCTACCGTACCTCTTCCCTGACCTTACTGGCTTTCCCACAGCTGCTGACCTCATTACGCACCTCCGCACTAGTGACACTCGCTACCGCGCTGCGCTTCCTGCTGACTTCTACGCCAAGAACCCCCCCCCCCCCCCATGTACATCACTCTCTACGACATTGTCACTCGCCTCCCTGACTCCCTTCCCGTAGTCAGGGACCACTTCCTCTCAGTCTGTCCCACCACTCTCACTGTTGACCTCCTCGAGAAGTCCCTCCTAGCGGTCGAGAAGAGCATAGTCGCTGTACGGGCCTCTCGTGGTGACCCGCGCACCCCCATCTTTGAGGGGTGTTCCCCCTCCCCCCTTCTACCCTCTGTTGCCTCTGCTGCTGCGGCCGACCTCCTTGGTCTTGAGTCGGTCGGTGCGGCGTCTGCCCCTAGCGGGAGACGCCGCTCTGGCAAGGGCAAGGGGGGCAGGGGCACTGGAGGGGCGAGCGGGGGCGGTGGAGGTGGAGGTGGAGGCGGCGGGGGGAGTGGGGGTGGCGGTGGAAGTGGTGGTGGGGGTGGAGGTGTCGGTGGCGGCAGTGGAGGCGGAGGCGGCGGCAGCGGTGGCGGTGGGAGCGGAGGTGGCGGAGGTGGCGGCGGTGGAGGAGGCGGCGGTAGTAGCGGAGGAGGCGGAGGCGGCGGAGGCGGCGGGGGTGGCGGTGGAGCTGGTCGCGGGTCTACGCAGAGGAGGGGCTCCGGTGGTGGTCCGCGCCAGCAGCAGCAGCGCGGTCGTGAGACCCTGTCACCTCAGCAGCTCCGTGAGTGGTACACTGCACGCCAGCGGGGTGGGGGTTTTGGTCCGTGTACCTACATCCTCCGCACCGGCGACCGTGCGGGTGAGCAGTGTGGGGGTGCGCACCCCACCCAGCGCTGCTTTGGCGGCCTGACGGACGCGTGGCGTCACCAGTTCCCGGAGGCCACGGAGATCCCTCGCTGGAGCGAGCTGTCTAGGGCGGGCGTTGCCATCTATGATCTTGATTTTGATGCTATCCTTTCTGCCATGTATGCTGTGTCTATTAGTGATGAGGGTGACTGTTACCGGTGTTTCCCGCCCGACCCGGGCATTGAGACTACTGCTCTAGGTACTGGTGAGGCGGCTGCCCTAGGTGCTTGCGACGCTGCTGCTCTAGGTGCTAGTGCGTCTACGTCCTCAGGTACTGGTGAGTCTGCGCTCTCAGGTACTACGCCGGCTTCGGCCTCCCTCACCTTCACCCTTGACTCTGGGGCTTCTCGCTCCTTCTTTCGGGACCGCACCACACTCACGCCGCTTAGTCGGCCGGTTGCGGTGTCTCTGGCTCACCCCTCTGGGGGTCCTGTCCTGTCTCACTTCTCCACAGTCCTCCCGTGTCCGGCGGCTCCCTCTGGCACCCTGTCTGGTCTCTACCTCCCCTCGTTCTCTACGAACCTGGTGAGTGGTGCTGACCTACAGGATGGGGGAGTACACCTGTTCACTCCTGCGCGTCAGCGGGTGACACACTGCACAGAGGCTAGCACAGGCCGACACCTGGCTACGTTTACCCGTCGGCCGGGGTCGAGCCTTTAGACACTGACCACTCCGTCTCCTCCGGTTGTTGAGTCTAGTAGGGTCACTGCGTCGGGTCAGGTGCTTACTGCAGCGTCCAGGTCTGGTCCTGAGTCTGCCCCCTGTTCGTGTCGTCTCTTGTCTAACAAACTCTCCTCTAGCACCACCGCCTTGGTCACCCCTCTCTGCTTCGGCTCAGAGGCATGGCCTCCCGTCTTCTTGTTTCTGGTCTCCCTCGGTCCCTCCCTCCCCTTCCTCAGGGCCCTGGCCCTACATGTGTCCTCTGTGTCGAGGGGCGCCAGCGGGCTGCCGCTCACTCCTCCCAGTTTCCTCTGACAGAGGCCCCGTTGCAGACGCTTCACATGGACGTGTGGGGCCCAGCCCGCGTCCGTGGACAGGGTCACGAGCGCTACTTCCTGCTTGTTGTTGACGACTACTCGCGTTACACCACAGTCTTCCCCTTGTGCAGCAAGGGTGATGTCACTGAGGTGCTGATCGACTGGATCTGCGCAGCTCGTCTCCAGCTCAGGCAGAGCTTTGGCTCGGACTATCCTGTTCTGCGTCTGCACCCGGACAGAGGCGGAGAGTTTTCTTCTGGCCTTCTGAGAGCCTACTGTCGCGCACGTGGAATCCGTCAGACCTTCACGCTCCCGGACTCCCCGCAGCAAAATGGGATTGCTGAGCGCCGCATTGGCATGGTCATGGACGTCGCTCGTACGTGTATGATGCATGCGGCTGCTCCCCATTTTCTGTGGCCGTTTGCGGTGAGGTACGCGGCGCATCAGATCAACCTTCACCCCAGGGTCTCCAGGCCGGAGACCTCCCCAGCCTTGCTGTGGACGCGGAAGGTTGGCGATGCGTCGGCGTTCCGGGTCAGGGGATCTCGGGCGTTTGTCCGCGACTTGTCTGCGGACAAGCTGTCCCCTCGTGTTGCTCCTTGCGTCTTCCTGGGGTTCCCCCCTGACGCGCCTGGGTGGCAGTTCTTCCACCCCACCTCTCGCCGTGTTCTGTCCTCCCAGGACGTCACGTTTGACGAGCCGGTCCCCTACCACCACCTCTTCCCCTACCGCACTCCGTCCCTCCCCCCGCCGCCGCTCTTCCTTGTACCAGGTCCCCCTCCGGTAGACCCCCTGCCCCCTCAGGGTCCGTCCCCTTCAGGTGTGTCCCAGGTAGACGCAGTCAAGCCTGTCGAGGTCACTGGTGACTCTGGTGCTGCTGAGGGTGCTGAGCCTGGGGGTGCTGACTCTGGGGGTGCTGAGCCTGGGGGTGCTGAGCCTGGGGGTGCTGCGACTGGGGGTGCTGAGTCTGGGGGTGCTGCGCCTGGGGGTGCTGAGCCTGGGGGTGCTGAGCCTGGGGGTGTTGAGCCTGGGTGTGCTGAGCCTGGGGGTGCTGAGCTTGGAGGTGCTCCGCCTGGAGGTTCTCCGGGTGCTTCGTCTCTGCGGGAGCCACTCCCTCCATGAGAGCTGCGCGAGTGGTTTGCCCGGCGCTAGAGGCGTGCTGCTGGTGCTGGAGGTTCTTCGGATACTGAGGGTGCTGCTGACGCGGGTCTTGGAGGTGCTCGTACTGGGAGTATTGGAGCTGCTGGGCCTGCGGGTTCGACTGGAGCTGGCGCTACTGAGGAGGTTGGAGCTGAGAATACTGCTGGCGGTACAGCTGCAGGTACTCTTGGTCCTGCTGGAGGTTCTGGCGCTATTGGAGGTGCAGCCGGAGCGGGTGCTCCTGCTGGGGGTGCTGGTGCTGTCCCTGCTGTGTCTGGCGTCGCCGCGCGGCCTCGATCGTACTTCGTTCCACTCCTGCAGAAGGTTCTTGGTCTTCCGCCTTCTACTGGTCCTCCTCCTTCTTTAGCGTATCCATAGCCAGTCCCATCACAGTTACAGTCACAGCCTACCTCCTCTTTGCCTGCTCCTTCTCCCTACACTGGTCCTACTGGAGGTCTTACTGAGCGTCGTGAGCCTGCGTCTCGCCCTGCGTCGCCTGTCCGTGCTGCTCGCGCTAGTGGTCGTGGTTCGCGTCAGCGTCCTCCTCCTGTCCCTAGCACGCACAGGATGTCTCTGCGTCCGTCCACTGCTCCTCTGCGTGCCCCTTTGCCTTGTCCTCCTGCGTCCTCTCTTCCTGCTTTTGCCGACCCAGAGTCGGACTCTGTTCGTGCTGCCAGTCCTACTGTCACGCATCTCCTGGCTTCTGTCGTCACTGACCCTTCCTTCGAGTCCACTCCTGCATCTGCCTTAGTTGCTGAGCTCGTCGACTTTGCTGCTCGCTGTCGCCTAGACTACGCTGCTAGTCTTGTCGCTGAGTCTGAGTCTATCTGTCCTCCGTCCGTCGGGGGTGAGTGTGCCCTTGGCACGGACGTCCTTGAGGACAGGCAGGAGGAGTTCCAGTGCTTGGCAGCTACTTCACCTCATCTCGTGTCCGTACTGCTTACCCCTGAGGGAGACCCGGATGCACTTGACATCCCGACTCCGCGGTCTTACGCGGAGGCGATAGAGGGTCTCTACTCCTCTCAGTGGCAGGCAGCTATGGATGCAGAGATGGCTTCCTGGAAGTCCACAGGCACCTACGTTGACGCTGTCCCCCCTCCTGGGGTGAACATCGTCAGTGGCATGTGGATCTTCAGGGTGAAGCGGCCGCCGGGTTCTCCGCCTGTCATCAAGGCGCGTTACGTGGCTCGAGGCTTCAGTCAGCGGCAGGGAGTTGACTACTTTCAGACCTTCTCTCCCACCCTGAAGATGACCACTCTTCGGGTACTGCTGCACGTTGCTGCTCACCGTGACTACGAGCTGCACTCTCTTGACTTCAGCACTGCTTTCTTACAGGGCAGCCTGCACGAGGAGATATGGCTGCGTCGCCCACCTGGCTTCACTGAGTCTTTTCCTCCTGGCGCCCAGTTTAGGCAAAAGAGGAGTTGCACTAGCAAGAATGAGGATACAAATAGCAAACCCTAGAAGGGTTGTACTCGCTTTAGAGCACCCCACTACAGGCTAGAGCATAACATTCTGACAGATTTCGCTTCACACGCGCGCCAGTGGCGCAAGTGGCGATTTCGCCACACACGAGCACCACTGGTGCAAGTGACGATTTTGCCACAAGCGCACGCCGCTGGCGCACGTGGCGATTGTTGGGCTGATTGCCCCTTAGGATCTTTGGTAGGGTTAAACTCTGGGTAGAGTGATGTAGTAGCGGAAGCGTTTAAATGAAGTCCTTGAACCACCTTGCGCTGGTATGTGAGGGCAAAGTAAGTTGATTAAAACAAGCAAGTACAAAGGTTTATATAAGAGTACAAAGAATAAGAAGAGATATAAATAAATTGTTTTACTGTTGCGGTTCGATACAGTGCGACTCGGGCAACTGCTCAATGTCGAGTCAGTTGTGTGTCCTTGCTGTCGCGCTGCATTTGTCAAGTCAAAGGTTAGCGACCTTTGACTTTCGCGTAACCTCCAGCGGTTACTTCAACTTCCGAGGGTTGACTCGCTGGTGCCTCGATATGCTCAGCTTCGCTTGTGCCTTGGTGTTTCGACATGAGAGAGGCGCTTAAGATTTTTTGTTCCCAACACTCCCCTTCGCTTCTGGAGTGTCGGTGCTGGTGACGTGGCTTTGTCCAATCAGCAGCATGCAGTACTCGAACTTCTGTTTTCCGAGCTTCTTGGTCAAGTAGTGAGCTGCCATCTCGGACGTGGGACAGTAGGATAGTTCAAGTCTCCCTTTCTCGATCTTGTCCTTCACGAAGAAATATCGCAGGGCGATGTGTTTCGTCCTGTTCGCGAAGCCGTTCTTGTTGGCGATGCAAATTGCCGATTGGTTGTCGCAGAACAGGGTTAAGTTGGGTAACTTGGCTAACTTCGCTTCTTCCAGCAGCTCGCGAAGATAGAGTCCTTCCTTGGTGGCTGAGCAGAGTGCAATATATTCTGCTTCAGCTGATGAGAGAGCAATTAGTTCCTGCTTGCTCGATTGCCAGGAGATCGGTCCGATAGGTTCGAGGCGGTAGATGTAGCCGGTGCGGGAGCGCCTGTTGTCGGAGTCGCCAGCGTGATCAGCGTCGACGTAGCTGATTAATTTAGTCGGTGTAGTTGTGTTCTTGTAGTAAGTTAGGCCGATCGTTGAGGTACTAACGAAGTAGTGGAGAGCGCGGTCGAGCTCCGCCAGGTGTTCTGCTTTAGGCTTCTTGAGGTAGGTGGCGAGCTGGCTTGCGGAGTATGAGAGGTCGGGGGCGGCAGGTGACAGCTGCGAAGAGAAGGCATCCTAGCTTTCTCTGGTAGTCGCGTATCGCGGCGGATTTGAGTAGAGAGGATCCTTCCTTGTGGTTTCCTGTCGCGTAGCGGTAGGGCGTAGAGATGGTGGTAGGTGTGAGCGCGAAGCGTTTGGCGATGGTGTCGGCGTACTTAGCGGCGTTGAGGTAGATCGCGCCTTCTTCTTCCCGAATGTTCAAGCCGAGGTACTGTGTGACGGTAGAGGAGACCGTGAGTGTGAGGTCCCTCTGTAGCTCCCCTTCGAACCAGGTGGTGATGTCGTCAGTGGAGCCGATGTAGAGTAGGTCGTCTATGTAGACGATCAGCAGAATGTAGTCGGTACCCTTCGTAAGCCGGTACATGCCCTGGTCGTGCGGCAATTGCTTGAAGCCGATGCGAATGAGGTGAGCGTGTAGGTACTGTTGCCATAGCCGCGGAGCTTGCTTGATCCCGTAAAGTGCTTTCAGCAGTTGACAAACTTGGTGAGGTTCCCCGTTGGTACCGTGTGGGAGCTCAACGAAGATTTCCGCGTCGACAGGTGCGTAGAGGAACGCGTTGGCGACATCGATTTGCCGTAGCTTCCTTTTCTTCATGGCGGCGATCGCGAGGAGGATTCGAAGTGAGGTATGTCGGCTAAACGGGGCGAATGTCTCGGTGAAGTCCCGTCCGTGCTCCTGATCAAATCCACGCACAACCCAGCGTGCTTTGAACTTCTCAATTGTGCCGTCTGCTTTTGTTTTAACGCGGAAGACCCATTTCCCGGTGAGAATGGTCTTGTTCCTTGCCACGGTGATGGAAACAACTTTCCAGGTGTTCCGTTCCTCCAGCACCTTTAACTCTCTGTCCATGGCTTCACGCCATTTTTCCCTGTGTTCCCCCCCCAGAGCCTGCTGAACCGTCGCAGGCTCCTTAGGAAGAGTGTTGCCGTGGACTGCGGTGATGAGTCCGAGAATCTGCAGTCCAGTCTGTGAGTTGTCAGAACATTATAGCTTATACATTTGTGTAGGCTGTAGTGGGGTAGCCCATAAGGGGTACAACCCAATTAGGGTTAGTACTTGTACCCAACTGTTTCATAGTTCATCCATTCCATTCTCACTTCTCGTCATGGTATCGAGCAAGTTCCCGAGTGGGAATACTGCCTAGGGCCCACCACGAACTTTTTTTTTCCTTCCCTGCCCGGAGGGCGCTTAGCTCCTAACCCGAGTAGCACCTCGAGCCGCCTTAGTGGCCCCTACTGGCCACCCTTAGTGCCCCTCGAGCCGCCCTCTACGGCCTCGCTTAGGCCGCTACGGCCCCGCTACGGCCCCGCTTAGGCCCCGTCGGCCCCGCTACGGCCCTGCTTAGGCCCCGTCAGCCCCGCTACGGCCCCGCTTAGGCCCCGCTACGGCCCCGCTACGGCCCCGCTACGGCCCCGTCAGCCCCGTCGGCCCCGCTACGGCCCCACTTAGGCCCCGTCGGCCCCGCTACGGCCCCGCTTTGGCCCTGCTACAGCCCTGCTACGGCCCCACTACGGCCCCGCTACGGCCCCGTCGGCCCCGTCGGCCCCGCTACGGCCCCGCTTAGGCCCCGTCGGCCCCGCTACGGCCCCGCTTAGGCCCCGTCGGCCCCGCTACGGCCCCGCTTAGGCCCCGCTACGGCCCCGCTACGGCCCTGTCGGCCCCGTCGGCCCCGCTACGGCCCCGCTACGGCCCCGCTACGGCCCCGCTACGGCCCCGCTACGGCCCCGCTTCGGCCCCGCTTAGGCCCCGCTGCGGCCCCGCTACGGCCCCACTTCGGCCCCGTCGGCCCCTCTACGGCCCCACTTAGGCCCCACTTCGGCCCCGTCGCCACCGCGGCCCCGCCCACCCTTGCGGCCCGCCGCCACCTGCGACCTCGCCACCACCTGCGACCCTGCCTCCCAGTGCCCGCAACGCCGAGCAGCCAAACCGCCGGCCACCTGAGCCGCCCGACCTCCCGAGCCGCCCAATAGCCGAGCCGCCCGACAGCCGAGCCGGCCAGCACCGTGCAGCCGAGCCGCCCAGCAGCCGAGCCGCCCAGCAGCCGAGCCGCCCGACAGCCGAGCCGCCCCGCACCAGCAGCCGAGCCGCCCAGCAGCCAAGCCGCCCAACAGGCGAGCCGCCCTGCAGCCGAGTCGCCCGACAGCCGAGCCGCCGAGCAACCCGATCGCTCCACCTACCTGGTAAGAGCACAGTCTCTGCCACTGCACTGCCCTGCCTCCTGCTGTTAAGGCTTCCCCTAGCGTTCTCACCTTTGACGCTAAGGGTCGGGCAGTGGACTTTGAGGTATGGGTAGATGATCTGCAGCTTTTCCTGCAGTGCGATAGGGCAGACGGCCTCTCCCTGTTTGACCTCACTTCTGGTGCCTCCCCTGCCCCTGCTGCTGATGCTGACGCCACTGTTTGCTCACAGTGGGCCACACGTGACGCTGCTGCTCGCCTTGCTGTGCGCCGCCACTTACCGACCACTGAGCGTGCACACTTTAGCCAGTACAAGAGTGCTCAGACCTTGTACGACGCTGTAGTTGCACGCTACTCTTCCCCTGCCACTGCTGCACTGAGCCGCCTCATGCTACCGTACCTCTTCCCTGACCTTGCTGCCTTTCCCACTGTTGCTGACCTCATTACGCACCTCCGCACTAGTGACACTCGCTACCGCGCTGCGCTTCCTGCTGAGTTCTGCGCCAAGTACCCCCCCCCCCCATGTACATCACCCTCTACTACATAAACACCCGTCTCCCTGACTCTCTCCGTGTAGTCAGGGACCACTTCCTCTCTGTTTGCCCCACCACTCTCACCGTTGACCTCCTCGAGAAGGCCCTCCTAGCGATAGAGAAGAGCATAGTCGCTGTAGGAGCCTCTCGTGGTGACCCTCGCACCCCCGTCTTTGAGGGGTGTTCTCCCTCCCCCCTCTTGCCCTCTGTTGCCTCTGCTGCTGCGGCCGACCTCGTTGGTTTCGAGTCGGTCGGCGCTGCGTCTGCCCCGAGCGGGAGACGCCGCACCGGCAAGGGCAAGGGGTGCAAGGGCACTGGAGGAGGTGGAGGGGGCGGTGGAGGTAGTGGTGGAGGCGGTGGAGGGAGTGGGGGTGGTGGTGGGAGTGGTGCTGGGGGTGGCGGCGGCGGCGGCAGCAGTGGAGGCGGCGGAGGCCGTGGAGGTGGTGGAGGGAGCGGAGGCGGCGGAGGTAGTGGAGGAGGCGGAGGTTGAGGAGGTGGCGGAGGCGGCGGAGGCGGCGGCGGCGGCGGAGGCGGCGGTGGTGGAGCGAGTCGCGACTCTGCGTCAAGGAGTGGCGCCGGTGGTGATCAGCGCCAGCAGCAGCAGCGGAGTGGTGTGACCCTGTCCCCTCAACAGCTTCGTGAGTGGTACACTGCACGCCAGCGCGGTGGGGGTTTTGGTCCCTGCTCTTACGTTCTCCGTACCGGCGACCGCACTGGTGAGCAGTGCGGGGGTCCGCACTCCACCCAGTGCTGCTTTGGTCGCCTAACGGACTCGTGGCGTCGCCAGTTCCCTGAGGCGTCAGAGATCCCTCGCTGGGGAGATCTGCCTAAAGCCGGGGTTGCTATCTTTGATCTTGACTTTAATGCTATTCTTGCTGCCATATATGCTGTTGCTGATAGTGTTGAGGGTGCCTGTAACCTGTGTGTACCGCCTGACCCGGGCATTTAGGCTGCTGCGCTAGGTGCTGGTGAGACTGCTACTCTAGGTGCTAGTGCGTCTGCTGCCCCAGGTGCCACTGCGTCTGCCGCCCCAGGTGCTGGTGAGTCTGCTCTCTCAGGTACTACGTCGGCTCAGGCCATCCACACCTTCACCCTGGACTCGGGTGCGTCCCGCTCCTTCTTTCGAGACCGCACCACTCTTACGCCGCTTAGTCGGCCGGTTGCAGTCTCCCTAGCAGACCCCTCTGGGGGTCCTGTCCTTGCTAGCTTCTCCACTGTCCTTCCGTGCCCTGCAGCCCCCTCTGGCACCCTGTCTGGTCTCTACCTCCCCTCGTTCTCTACGAACTTGGTGAGTGGAGCGGACCTACAGGATCGAGGGGTTGACCAGTTCACTCCTGCGAGTCAGCGAGTGACCCACTGCAGGTGTGCTTGGACAGGCCGACACTTGGCCACGTTCACCCGTCGGCCAGGGTCGAGCCTGTACACCCTTATTGCTGAGTCTCCTCCTACTGCTAAGTCTGCCCAGGTAGCTGCGTCGAGTCAGGTGTTTGCTGCGGCGTCCAGGTCTGGTCCTGAGTCTGCCCCCTGCTCGTGTCGTCTGCTGTCCCACCAGACTCTCCTTTGGCACCACCGCCTTGGTCACCCCTCCTTGCCTCGTCTCCGAGGCATGGCCTCCCGTGTCCTTGTCTCTGATCTTCATCGGTCTCTCCCTCCCCTTCCTCCGGGGCCTGGCCCTACCTGCGTTCCCTGCGTCGAGGGGCGACAGCGCGCCGCCCCTCACTCCTCCGAGTTTCCTCCGACAGAGGCTCCGCTGCAGACTCTACACATGGACGTGTTGGGCCCAGCCCGTGTCAGTGGGAAGGGAAGAGAGCGGTACTTTCTGCTGGTCGTTGATGACTACTCGCGTTACACCACAGTCTTCCCCTTGCGCAGCAAGGGTGACGTCACTGAGGTGTTGATCGACTGGATCCGCGCAGCTCGTCTCCAGCTCAGAGAGAGTTTCGGCTCGGACTTTCCTGTTTTGCGTCTGCACTCGGACAGAGGAGGGGAGTTTTCCTCTGCCCGTCTGGGAGCCTTCTGTCGGGCACAGGGCATCCGCCAGACCTTCATGCTTCCGGCCTCTCCACAGCAAAATGGGATTGCTGAGCGCCGCATTGGCATGGTCATGGACGTCGCACGTACGTCCATGATGCATGCGGCTGCCCCCCATTTTCTGTGGCCATTTGCGGTTCAGTACGCCGCGCATCAGCTCAACCTTCAGCCCCGGGTCTCCTTGCCAGAGACCTCCCCCGCCTTGCGGTGGACAGGGAAGGTTGGCGATGCGTCTGCGTTTCGGGTCTGGGGATCTCGGGCGTTTGTCCGCGACTTGTCTGCGGACAAGCTGTCCCCCCGTGCTGTTCCTTGCGTCTTCCTTGGCTTCCCCCCTAACGCGCCTGGCTGGCAGTTTTACCACCCCACCACGCGCCGTGTTCTGTCCTCCCAGGACGTCACCTTTGTCGAGTCGGTGCCTTACTACCGTCTCTTCCCCTACCGCACTGCGCCCCTCCCCCCACCGCCGCTCTTCCTTGCGCTAGGTGCTACTCAGGTAGACCCCCTCCCACCTCAGGGTCCTGCCCCTTCAGGTGTGTCCCAGGTAGACGCAATCGAGCCTGTCGAGGTAGCTGTAGACTCTAGTGCTGCAAGAGGTGCTGAGCCTGCGGGTGCCGGGTCTGCGGGTGCCGGGTCTGGGGGTGCTGAGCCTGCGGGTGCCGGATTTGCGGGTGCCGGGTCTGGGGGTGTTGAGTCTGGGGGTGCTGGGTCTGGGGGTGCTGAGCCTGGGGGTGCTAAGTCTGGGGGTGCAGAGCCTAGGGGTGCCGTACTTGCTGGTTCTAGAGGCGATGCGCGGCCGAGGCCGTACTTCGTTCCGCTCCTGGAGCAGGTTCTTGGTCTCCCGCCCTCTACTGGTCCTGCTCCTCCCCTAGAATGTCCACCGCCTGTCCAGTCGCAGTCACTGTTACCGCCCGCCTCCCCTCTACCTGCTCCTTCTCCCTACACTGGTCCTACTGGAGGTCTTGCTGAGCGTCGTGAGCCTACGTCTTGTCCCGCGTCACCTGTTCGTGCTGCTCGCACTAGTGGTCGTACTGCGCGTCCACGTCCTCCTGCGGTCCCCGGCACACACCAGATGGCACTGCGTCCTTCCACTGTTCCTCTGCGTGTCCCTTTGCCGTCTCCTCCAGAGTCCTCTCTTCCTTCTCTTGCTGACCAGGAGTCTGACTCCCTTCGTGCTGCCAGTCCTTCGGTCACGCGCCTTCTTGCTACTGTCGTCACTGACCCTTCCTTTAAGTCTTTTGCTGCGTCTGCTCTCGTTGCTGAGCTTGTCGACTTTGCTACTCGCTGTCGTCTAGACTACGCTGCCAGTCTTGTTGTTGAGTTTGAGTCTGTGTGTCCTCCGACCGTCGGGGGTGAGTGTGCTCTTAGCACGGACGTCCTTGAGGACAGGCAGGAGGAGTTCCAGTGCTTTGCAGCTGCTTTGCCCCATCTCGTGTCCACGCTGATTGCCCCTGAGGGAGACCCGGATGCACCTGACATCCCGACTCCTCGATCGTACGCTGAGGCGATCGAGGGTCCCTACTCCTCTCAGTGGCAGTCGGCCATGGACGCAGAGATGGCTTCCTGGAAGTCCACAGGCACCTACGTCGACGAGGTTCCCCCACCTGGGGCGAACATCGTCAGTAGGATGTGGATCTTCAGGGTGAAGCGGCCGCCGGGCTCTCCGCCTATCTTCAAGGCGCGTTATGTGGCTCGAGACTTCAGTCAGCGGCAGGGAGTTGACTACTTTCAGACCTTCTCTCCCACCCCGAAGATGACCACTCTTCGGGTGCTGCTGCACATAGCCGCTCAGGCGCGACTACGAGCTTCACTCTCTTGACTTCAGCACTGCTTTCCTGCAGGGTAGCCTGCACGAGGAGATCTGGCTGCACCGCCCTCCTGGCTTCACTGGGTCGTTTCCCCCTGGCACTTAATGGAGCCTCCGGCGGCCAGTCTACGGTCTCCGCCAGGCACCCTGTGAGTGGCACGACACACTGAGGACTACACTCGCGGCTCTTGGGTTTGCTCCTTCTACAGCCGACCCGTCGCTGTTTCTACGCACCGACACCTCTTTGCCGCCGTTCTACATCCTCGTGTACGTCGACGACCTGGTCTTTGCCACTGCTGACACTGCTGGACTCGCCCACGTGAAGTCCGAGCTGCAGAAGAGACACACGTGCACAGACCTGGGTGAACTGCGCAGCTACCTTGGCTTGTAGATCATCCGGGACAGAGCACAGCGCACCATTACACTAACTCAGTCACACATGGTGCAGCAGGTCCTTCAGCGCTTCGGCTTCACGTACTCCTCGCCTCAGGCCACTCCTCTGTCTACTCGCCACTCGCTCTCAGCTCTACCTTCGGATGAGTTCGTAGAGTCGAGTGGCCCGTACCCAGAGCTTGTTGGCTGCCTCATGTACCTGATGACCTGCACACGACCTGAACCTTGCATATCCTCTTAGCATCTTGGCACGCTATGTTGCTCCTGGGAGACACCGACCAGAGCACATGGCTGCAGCGAAGAGGGTGTTGCGCTACGTGTGCAGTACGTCGGGCATGGGGCTAGTGCTTGGAGGGCGACGTTGAGTAGTCCTCACAGGTCACGCTGACGCTTCTTGGGCTGACGACCAGGCTACGCAGCGGTCGTCACAGAGTTACACCTTCAGCCTTGGCTCTGGCTATGTTTCGTGGCGGTCTACCCGCTCGTCCTCTGTTCTCGGCCCCAGCTGTGAGGCTGAGATCTACGCAGGGGCCATGGCTGCACAGGAGCTACGCTGGCTCACCTACCTGCTGGGTGACGTGGCATGGGGTGGGTGGGTGTGACGTGGCACGTGGGGCTGGTTGTTCCCTGACGTGGCGGATGGAGGAGAGTGTGACGTGGCGGGATGTGAGGCTTGGGGCTGACATGGCGGCTTGGACGGGTACATGGGAGCGGCGCGTGACGAGGTGACGCGTGTCAGGTGGGTGGGGGGTGACGTGGCATGGGGTGGGTGGGTGGGTGTGACGTGGCACGTGGGGCTGGTTGTTCCCTGACGTGGCGGATGGAGGAGGGTGTGACGTGGCGGGAGGTGAGGCTTGGGGCTGATGTGGCATCTTGGACGGGTACACGGGAGCGGCGCGTGACGAGGTGACGCGTGTCAGGTGGGTGGGGGTGACGTGGCATGGGGTAGGTGGGTGTGACGTGGCACGTGGGGCTGGTTGTTCCCTGACGTGGCGGATGCAAGAGGGTGTGACGTGGCGGGATGTGAGGCTTGCGGCTGACGTGGCGGCTTGGAAGGTTACACGGGAGCGGCGCATGACGAGGTGACGCGTATCAGGTGGGTAGGGGGTGACGTGACATGGGGTGGGTGGATGTGACGTGGCAAGTGGGGCTGGTTGCTGGTGGATGTGGCGGATGGAGGAGGGTGTGACGTGGAAAGTTCACACAGTCCATCGTGTGGTCACGCGGCCACAGTAAATAACTGATGGTTTCTCTCTCCCCAT